CCCGTACAAATGGTCCTGGCAGCTTCACTTGGCCCCAAAAGTCACGTAGCTGGCGCTGTTTATCCTATCCCAGCCAGCACGACGGTCTATGGGCTTCCGATGAGAAAGTAGGCAGAGACCTGTAGAGGGTTGCAGAGGGTTGCAGAGGCTTGTTGAGGCAAAGGTGCAAGGCGGAGACCGATGTACAGAGAAAGAGAGCTCATTTGCTTCGCACGTTTGCTTCGCACATTTGCTCGTCGTCGGTAGGCGATCAATTGAAACATGGTCAAGGCCCAGAGTAGGAATCCAATGTAGTGTCTCACTGGAGCCGACTATTTCTGTTCTGGAGGAGGCTGCGGGTGAATTGATGAGAAACCGACCGCGAGTGTCCCACGGAAGCTGACGATATTCCCGAGCAGCAAAAGCGCGGGCGCAACTGGGTCTGTAGTCAGTTGTTGTTCGGGCTGGATGGGATACCGCCCGACCTTGCACAAAAAACACCCGCCTGCTGATCGGCCGATCACGAGTCGGTCTCCTGACAGCTTTGAGTTGATGGCACCCATGGAAATCCACCGTAACATAGCGCAAAGAGTCTGTCGAAAAGAAGCACGCGTCGAGCATGCGCGACAGATGAAAGTGCCTACCTAAGCGTCGTCCGGCCACAAATGACACGCAGGCTCATACAAAGCGGATGCGCATGCAGTGTGCATGATGCCACATCTCGCGATCCAGTGCAACAAGTGTACCAAACACGCCAAAGATGGATACTGTGCAAAACTGTGTTGTGTTGGACAAGACATAGTGTCGCTAGCAGACGTATGTACATCTGCCACAACAAAAGCCAAAACGTTCGGGTCCCGATGTCATCCTCTATTGGGTCGAAACGCAAGGCGGCGTCACTTGTACAGCATCGTCCAATCATTGCAGCAGAGAGACCACGAAAACAGGAGGGGTCCAGCAAGTCAGCCTGAGAGTCTGGCATGGTCGCAACCTGCAGCCGCAACGAGCAAGTCAAAGCTGGGGTTCTGGCCTCGAGACAGAAGCAGCGAACGAGACCGGCCCGATCGACAGTATGCGGTCCAGGACGATGACGGTGATACGGGGCTGAAACGAATGCTTGACGGCGAATCAGCATGCCGAGGCAGTATGACGCGCTGCTCCACAACTGACAGCCCACTTCGTGTCGAGCCATATTTCCGGCATCATGGTGACATGCAGCTCCACAACTGACGGCCCACTTCGTGTCCAGCTAGATCTGCGGCAACATGGTATCGTCACACGCGCTCCCATGACAAGCGGCGCTTCACAACACCGTCTTTTCCGCCCCGACAGATCTTCGGGCGCATGACTACGTGGACGTGACGGCCCATCCGTTTTTGCAAGAGCAGTACGTCCTTCACTGCAGCAAACACGAACGCGGGTGGCATGGCAAGGAATCACCGCGGAACTTGCTTGGTCTTGATCGCTGCGGCCTGCGTGGTTAAATGTCCACGCAGTCTCTCTCTCGTCACATTGCTCTGTCTTGCGACATACACACAAGTGGGAACTTCTCTATGGCCGTAACGTGCCACCGCACATCGTGCAGCTATCCCCAAACGCCCAATAGTCTGTGCTTCCGTGTGAACTGCAAATCAATGGGTGGCACACGTGCGGATCGAAAGTGACGCGCCGTTTGCAGATGCCACTGTAGCCGCTCCGATGGATTGTGTGTTAGCGCGTCGCAGCCATTCGTCGTGTGGTTTCAGTCAACAGTGGCGTCTTCGTGGAAGCGCTGGTCTTTCTTGCCACGGAACGTCTGGAGCGTGGCCTCGGTCTTCGGCGAGACGTGCGCGTCTGATGTAGCCATCTTTCTCTACCTGCGCTCGAGTGCCGGACGGAAAAAGGACAAGCGGTTCGATGACCTCGTGCGAGTGACGTGTCAGAGCAAGTCAAGTAGCCATCGGTCATTCGATCGAGGTACAGGGAGGACGACGACAGGTTGGGTCCAGCTGGCACGGACGGGTGAAGCCACGAGCTAGTTTGAGCCAATCAGGTACTGTCATTCGATCCATGTGCGTCACATGAGATCGACCAGTTTTCCGCTTGAACGACAGACCACACGCGCGACATTCGCGGGACTCATTTCGTTTCAGTTTTTGTACCGGTTCATACCGAACTTGTCCGACGGCGGATCGGACGGTTTACCCGACGGCGATCGACTTTGCTTGCCGTCAACCGGTCGCATGACTGCGCCACCAATGGATCTCTTGCTCATTTGTACCTGCGTAAAGTCTATGCGTACCTGCGTGTAGTCTCGCAACCGCTCGTGTCCAATGTGAAGCCATGTGCGCCACGTGGACCGACACCGAGTCTAGACGATGGGTTACCTTCGTGCTGCATAGGGACACGTCTGTGCTCGCGCGTGGACGTGTTACTCGTCTTCCATTGCAGACACGGCATTGGGCCAACCCGTGGGTTCGTATGCGGCCTCACGCGTCGTACGCATCAGCTTAGCAGAATGTCCCGGGTGTCGGAGTCGAAGGTCATGAGGTTCCTGACGCCTACGAGCCACTTCGGTTCGACAGCTCCGAGTCATGTGACTGGTGTGCGCGATAGCACCGGTGTTGGACTCGGTGCAGCTGACTTGGCTCACTGCTCGACTGCAAGCGCGTGAATGAATCGTTATGGGTGGGTCCCGTCGCGCAGCGGGGCCAGACGCTACCATGCCGATCCAATTCGACATGTTACTCCTAGAAGCCGATCAGATAACGGTCTGCTGGATCGAGAAAGATATCCTGCCGAAAGAGTTGGAACCTTCGGGCCATGGTCAGCTACAGTGCTGCGACCCCACATTGCGGTTCGCCGGACGTATGGGTGCTCAAGTTGAGTGCAACCGATATGGAACTAGCCTATCCTCGCAGGCTTAAGTTCACCGGTCAGACTTCCAGTCGGCTTCACAACTTGTTTTATCGGTTGCTCGATAGCCGCATAGCATCCCAATTGAGTGGGATTGGCGCACAGGATCGATTGGTATATCCCTCGTCTTCCGGTTGCGGTGCGCGTTGTATGTCGACAAAAGCGTCGATCAGTCTCTGACCTTCGAGCATTTCCGTGCTCCCCGTTGCAGATGTCCGTTCACAGAGGACGTAAGGCATCTTTTTCGTGCTTGTGCGTCCCGCTATATCAGAATGACGATATGGTTGTATGGGGCAGCAGGTACCATTACGATCGTCTTTCGCACGGAAGGATACACCAGCTTGACTTCTCGAGCAATGGCTTTGCTTGCCGTACAGTCTGCGTTGAAGCGTACAGCGGCATCCGCGTCCAGGCTTTTTGACTTACCTGCTTGCCACGATTGCTGTGCTATGAAGCCGATTGTTTTATCTGTGCGTGGGCGAAAGTACTTGGAATGACAATTGCAAGTGACCTGCTGGTACCGCAGTAGAAGATCAGCCTCGTGAAACGAAGTTTGCTACGAAAATGCGTCGTCAGCCATCTGCAGAGCATACGCAACCATGGCTCATGCTCAAATAATCCAACCTGTGCTGTTCGATCCTGTGATGATAATGTACTCGAGCTACTGGCAAGGCGTCGCTTCATATCTCATGGTGTGAACGTCGAGCAACGTCGAGCACAGTATGAGCAACCCATATCATGGGGCGCATACCGTTCACAACAGCAACGGCAACGACAAACGCTCCGGTATTCACGAGCAGCGCCGTCATTCTGTTGATTTCCCGCAAGTCGTCCCAGCGTCGTTGTCTTCATCCATCATATCTTCCCATGACACGATCGTGAAACACTGTACATACCATGAGCGCATACAGCCTCTTCGACCATTGGCGTATGTGAAAGTTGCAGCTTGACGAAGAATAGGCACCGAGCCTTGATCACTGCTCGACCTGAGGTGAGCTTGACTTCCGGAAAGATGATGACATGCTGTGGAAGGCGCGTCTCTCAAGCGTGGTTCGAGCGATATGACTTCTGCGCCACGCTTCATGACCGCTCACCATTGTTTTAGTGAAGTGAACTACGACAAGCAGTATGCCGCCGAGCGTGACTCCCACTTGACTGGTCGAACAGCTGGTGGTGAAGTTACTGGATGAGCTTCTTGACACGATGGACAGCTCGACAGAACACACGACCCGTCTCTCGATGTTTGCTGGAGGCCATTCACATTGAGGTGAGACTACGATGACTTGACCAAGCTGAGAACGTGATGGAAACGACAGAGCTGGAAATGACAGCACGTGCAGCTGCAGCGTCCCGCATGAAACGATCGCTACACGACAAGTGTTTGTTCATCTCGAGCGGTAAACGCCGTCGCTCGCAGCGTTTGAGCTGCAGCACTACCTCAGTTCGCGGTTTGCTCCGAACATCATACGAAACCTATCGGCCCATTTGCCACATGTCCGTGGAACAGGCGAGACCTGTGTGGGTCAGTCTATCACCGGCGGAGAGATGACCCGCTACACGCTCAGCTGGTCAACATGGCGCCAATCGCTTTGCATCGACTTTGCCGTTGGCGATGGGATCTTTGCTTTCGAAGGCGACGAGGATAGCGATCATCGTCAATGATAAGGCGCCGACACTTCTGTCGGTGAGTTGGCACCACTCGATTGCCCGTTTTCGGTGCTTCGACGCCGTCAAAGTGGTTTGGCTCAGGCCTTCTTGCAACAGGCTCTAATGTCGACATGGCATCGAGGGTACAAGCACGGTATCGCCCCGCCCGGCACAACCTCAGGATCCCGAGGTTTTATGCGAAAAACCTTGAGGACCCTCCCACCAGTCTCTCGGTCGAGTCGAGCACCCGTTGTGTGGCAGTTCTGAGGAAGATTCGAAGTGAAGAAGTACGTGGCGATGTATGTGGCCCAAGAGGCTCACGTCGATTGCTCTTCTGGCCGCTTTGATGCGGTGCACGAATCCACGTGCCGCTGTTCGATATGGTGGGGACTGGACAAGAAGCTGACGTGGAATATCGGACTTTTGTTTGTTTCTCGATGTGCTTTTTTGTTCTGCTGCGTGTATCAGATACGACACGAATGGAGGCGGCCGGAAATCTACGCAAGTGCCACAACTGCAGCCAGACGGGCCACATCCGTCGTGATTGCCCCGAAGCTCCGTCATCTGAGGGCGGCTTTGGTGGCTATACCAGTGGTGCCCCATGCTTTGGCTGTGGCAAGGTGGGCCACCTGAAACGAGACTGCCCTACAAGCACCAACGGCCGCGCGTGCCATAACTGTGGCCAAGCTGGCCACATCCGTCGAGATTGCTCCGAAGAAGTGCAGCCGCCCAAGTGCCACAACTGTGGGGAGGCAGGACACATCCGTCGCGATTGTCCTCAGGACTTGCGTGAGTCGCGCAAATGTCATCATTGTGGACAGGGCGGCCACCTCCGTCGTGACTGCCCTGATGACAGCGGCCCGAGCGAGGACAAGTGCTACCAATGCGGTGAGAACGGCCACTGGGCCCGGAATTGTCCCGGTGCCGTTGAGTAAGCAGCGCCTGATGCCGTATAGGACGCAGGTGCGAGACAAGTGATGAGGGAGGGAGCAAGCGAGCGAGAAGAAGGGACGATGGATGAATCATGACGCGCCGCTCTACTTGCTTGGTACTAGTATTGTTTCGAGAATATCTTTGGCCATTTGTGACGACGATGCATGCAGAGTACGTGAGAGAATAGTGGGCAGGAGAGAAGGCGTGCATGGATGCAGAAACTACATGTAGGCGATAACTTGCAGAGAGTCCACACGTGGCCACAGCGGTACTCGAATATCCTGGTAAAGAAATCACTACGTCGAGCAACACACGTGAGCTGAACACATATCTATCGGTGACGAAGACTCAGACTTTGGGCGAGCCTCTTCACTCAAGCAAGGTGTAGCCATGTGCGAGTCGTTGCCTGATAAGACAACGATTCAATGCACGCATGCGCGTCTGCCCAGAGGCACGACGCACGAACTTTGCTCTCCTCCTCACAACTCGACCATACGTAGTTCAAGTTCAAAGCGCCGATTCAATGCTTTTGTCCCAACCGTTTTCTCGGATGTCGCCAAACGCTACGTGCTATTTCTCCTCTGATCGTTCTCTCCCTTCTGCACGCAATGCTCCGAGATCCATAAGAAGCTTTAGCAGCAGTACACATGAAAGCCAAGCGAAGACGGACCACTGAGAGTTCAAGGCCCACTTAGTGAGCATCTTCTGCACCTGACGGCCACCGGTCGCACTCGTTCTTCACTACCGCAACTCGTTCTTCCATGACATCGATAGTCTGTTATTCCGCCGAACACATAGCAGCCGCTCTGGCTGCCAGTTTCCGGTCCCGCTCGTCCATCATGCGGTCCCAGTCCGTCAGCAGCTCCAGTTTGCTCTATGAGTCCACACAGTCGAGACAATACGTAGTTATGACACCACGCAAAGAGCAGACCGAGTTCGAGATCGCGAGAAGATTCGGCGCACCTGCATGTTGTTGCGCGCCTGCCACTTGTTGATGGCGCCAAAGCCTACGCCCATGAGCGAGAAGGCGATGGAAATGACCGCGAGGCCCGGCAGCACTTGGTACGGCATTTTCAGGTTTCAAATTCCGAATTTGCGCGGACGAATGAGAGGCGTACGAGCGTTCTTTGCCTCCCTTTGGCTTTCTTAAAGTCTTATAATGTTTAAAACAGCTCTTTGTAATTTATAAAGTGGTGTTTTTGAAGTCGCGGGTCACAAAAAAGACGGTTTTTTTGCGATTGTACATTACGAACTCATCTGCGCTGAGGGGAAAAAGTCGAAAAAACACATAAAATCAAGTTTTATCTAAGTCAGGGCCAGAAAACCGGTATGTACACAACCAGTATGGAGTTGCAACATCGACACAAGCGGCTGTAAATAAATCCTGATAAATCCATAACGCATCAGCCCTCTGCTTTTTCATCGAAACGCGCAGCGTGCTGCATTAAAAGGGTACCATTGTTACACTGTCATTCAACGCACTTATAGAATAAGGCACGAATTGATGTAACTACGTAACGTAAGCTACTTCCTCAATCCAGTCGACTTGTATGCATGCCGTTGAATCACAAAGTAGCCACAAAGCCAGTCTTAACGTCCTTTATTCGCTACTGTCGCATGAACAGCTATACTTTCGTAAACAACGAGTCCGATAAGTTCGCACTTGCTATCCTGCAGCCGTTGTCAAGCGATATAAATGGAGCTGTCCAAGAAGACTGGCTTCTGGACGCAGCACGTGGATCCGAGAAGCGGCGTACGTGCGTTTATGGCTTTTCTGCACTCTTGAGTTCGTTTCGTTGCGGTTCGATGGCGCTCGGATAGTGTTACCTGAGACTTGCGATCGGGAGTGTGCTCCTTTATAGCGGACGTATTACTACAACATGGCGTTGGAACGGAGCTACTGGGAACTACCACAACCACTGCATGCTCAAGTCAAGACGCCAACTTTACATGCCCTGCGTGAGTGGGACCACGACGCCGCAGAGCGCAAGTACGGCGCTGCGTATCACGAGGCAGATGGGGACAATGACGGCATGCGTCAAAGGCGTGAGGAGGCACTGGCCAAGTGCCGAACGCTGGCGGTGAACGCTCAAGCAACTGCGCCGGCTAAGCTCATGGCGCTCGAAGAGCGAATGGCACTGGCAGCCCAGAAGCGAAAAGCAGCGGAAGTGCAGCATAGTACGAGTAGCACCCGAGGAATTGCCAGTGCGAGTCAGAGCGAGTATCTTGACCTGGTGCGTCAGCTGCAGCAGCACGACGACGGCGAGGACGGAACGGGCGGTAAGTGGCTCGTGAGGTGAGAGAGAGAAGGATCCAGCTTGGCAGCGAGCAGAAAGGTTTAAACATAGACAACGCATGCCACATCGAGATTCATCGAGCGCTATTGATGCGATGCTGATCACTCGCGCTCGTGTTACCCATTTGTCTGGTAAGTAACTCTTTTCCTGTGTCGCTTGTGCAATTAACTCACACCCGCACTTAGGGAATAAAACCTTGACTGCCGCATTTACGGTTCGCCACGCGTGTGTTGCTTCGAAGTGAACATTGAATGGGACGAACTTTGCGTCTGGTGTAGGTCGTTTCTGGAGCTTTGGGCCAGAGCCGCGTAAATGGAAGGCAACTGGGACGGCGCGTACCATGCGCCTAACTTGTTAGCTTTTGCTAAGCGTGAGCAAATAATACACCCTGCGTCGAGCGTAGATGGCCGTCAACACCGACTTCGTATGACAGGAGCATTAGAGTCAAATCAGCTTGAGCTTTCTGTTCAGCCTGCAATCCACATGGATGACCAGAAAAGTGCTGTCTTCATATGTAATACGCTTTCAATCGACACTACTGTGTGCGGCAAGTTGTGCGACAAGTTGGCTCTTTTGCATGGCACCTGTCCATCACGTCAACAATTTAAAGGCACCTTGATGCGACACGATACTTTGGGCTCCACTTGCTCCAAGACATCATACACGTAGGCTATCTTGATCACTATCGACATAGTTCCCTCATGTGATTACGATAAGCTAGGGATCAAGTACACATCCCTCGTAACGGGGTGAGCCTGTTACATGTCGTTGACACCTAAATTTGGGGCAATGAGACCATTATCTGAATTATGAATATCCTCGGATACTTACTTCGCTGCTTTAACATGTAGGGATTTTACCGTCAAAGGTAATATTCGGCACTGCTCCACTCGTCGGTTGATAGAATGGCCATTATGGACCAACAAAAACACCAATAACTGCTAGACGCACGAAATGGGTGGCGAGCAGGTAGCTATATCAGGAAGTTGTAGCTCAATATCGTTAAAGCATGACAAATACGATGAACTTTCAGAGGCTTTAACGATAGATTAAGTGCAAAAACTACTTTTTCCTTGTACCCAAGCGTGTATGTTTCGTAGACTCGCCCTTCTCAGTTCAACGTGAGGCTTCGAGGCACCCGCCTGCACTGTGATTCATTCTATGTAGCTTGTACTGTGTCTGTACAAGCTTCGGTTCCTATTACATCATGCTTCTCGATATCACGAGCAGCGACGTATGATTCCAGTTGTCTTCATCACGGATGCGACGGAGATTATGCTCCGGGTGCTACGATGTCTATCCCCATTATTCAACGGCAATTTCTTGCTAGATTATGCATGGTGCTACGTTAAGTGTGATATGGTGTGTACGTTCTATATTTCCACCGGATCCTATATGACGGCATCCCTAACTTGTTTATTCAATTCATCCGACTCACGGAGCAATCGATCATTCGATGGCCACTGACGCAAGCCTTCCATATAGTGTGTAGTATGCGACGAAATGCTTGCCCGAACTGGGTCAATGAATCTCGAATGTTATGGCTGCACATTCTTTCTTTCGCACAATGCATTCTCCACAAAGATGAGTGCACAGCAAAGTGCATGTGTATCGGTTTATTCCAGTAAGCCACCTTTCCAGAGGCGTCATGCAATCTTGGGAAGTATTAAACCTCTACAACTGGTTCGTAGAGCAACCTATTGGCTCCTGTGTATAAGAATAAAACACCTTTGAAGACACACCACTTAACACAGTGTAGTGGACGGCAGTCACGGATGTTGTGCAAAGGGCAACTACCACGCTAGACTACGAAACCGGATTTGCGTAAGCAGCTACCTGGTAATATTTGGTCGGTTTCCGTGTGTATCCTAGAAAAAAACTCGCACAAGTTGCGCTTATAAAAGGAAGGAACTACTCGTATGATTCATATTGTGTACTTGTGAGTGTTTTTTAAAAAAAGTAGTGAGACACATAGCGTCCATGTAACGGGGTGAGCCTGAAACATAATATCATCGTTGTGACAATATGATCATAGAGAATGTTCAGTATGATATTCTCACTACAATATCATTAATTTGGTGACATTGTTGCAGTGACACAAGAGTCTACTCATTGGCTGTTTGAATGGCCCAAATGGCCCAACAAAAACACCAATCGCTGGTAGGAGCGCGGAGTGGGTGGTGAGTAGACGTCACCGTACATGCTTTGGTATCAATATATTTAAGCTAGGACAAATAAGATAAGACGCATTTTGAGACTTTCATATATTATCACAGGTTTCCTTTTCTCTTCCTCAACTAAGTAAGTTGTATAGTTCCAAGTCTTTCTCTGAGCGCGTACAATGTAAGCTAGCTACAAGGGCCCTTGTTCTTACGGCAGTCAACGAGAGCTTGCTACGCATAGTTCTCAGTGCGTAGCTCCCAGGACCCTGTTTCACGTGGTAGCACTTTACATACGTTACAAGGACCGCAACTTTATCGCACAACATATACATTCTTGACGATGATGGCGATAGCTTTCACGACACGCGTGAAAACTACTTTGATTTGAATGACTTCGAATACAGCGCGATAGAAATGATAAAGTTCGGCCGTAGAAAGAATGTTGTTTGGAAACATTATTTCTACACTAGACAGGGACCAACAAATTCCGCTGTAGCCATGTTCATTCAACATGAACTCGACGCGGCGCTACAAAAGCCTTGTCTCACCAGCAAGGTTCACCACAGTTCTAACTGTTGCGACAACAGCAGGATCAGTCTTCTGCTTCCGGGATGACGCATGTGCGTCGACCAGAAACCTTGAAGGTTGAAATCTCCAAGTACAGAGGTTCGAGGGAGACTCCCACTTTTATGGATATCTAGTTGGACGAAGCCTTTAATGCATGTCAAATTGACGATGAAGAAATGAAACTCACATTTGCTAAAATATACTTGTCTGGACGTGCCAAAATTTGGGCCTGAGGGATCGAGATAATGAACGACCCAGATGTGTTTGGAACGTTAAAGGTCTTCAAGACTTGGTTAAGGCAAACGTTTGAGCCTTCATGGGCTAATTTTAGGGCTCGGTCAGAGCTCCTAAAACTTAAACAGGGTATGCGTGATGTACAAGCTTACGCATGGCATACACGACTCATCGCGAGTAGTATAACGGCTTACCCGATTAATGAACACATTTTAATTACTGTGCTCATGAACTGCCTCGCAGAGGGCTCCGTCAGGAGCCAGCTATTTTCTTGGAGATGGAGACTCTTGAACAAGCAATATCAGCTGAATTAAAGGAGGCCTTTATCTTGAGACATGATCATGCTGGTTCGATCTCCTATCATCCACCAACAAGAGAAGAGAGAAAAAATATTTCCCGAAAAAACTCATTTATGTTGACAGAGTGAGAAACCTCGCTCTTCTAATAACAAGCGATTGCAGAAGTGCAATTGATGTCTGAAACGAGGTCGCTATGCAATGACTATAGTGCCCCACGCGCAGTGACTCGAGAAACTGAGCCAAATGATGGATCGTCTGGCATAAAGGGCAGCGGACGTAAGTCAGACGCTGTTACGAAGGGCGAGAGAGACGTGGCCCGTCAATATACGATTGGGTTCAGTAGGAGTGGAGCGCTCTATCTATCCAGCAACCTCAAGAGAATACGCAAATCTCTTGACAAATGTTTCTCCAGATCACAATCAGTGCGTGCCTCTGCACCTGGTGATGAGGGAAAAATCATTACCTTGAGATTGGAAGTGACAAAAGACTTGTAACTTTACGCCCTAGTTGGCTGTAAAGCGTCAAAATGTTTTATTTGAGGCCCGTCGTTAGAGGATCGTACGCTCAGCTTTTTTTTGAGTGCGATATCCTTCTCTCGAAGATGACGGTGCGCCTAGCGACAGGCGCATCGATCAATGTGATGAAACGTGTATTCAGAATCCAAAATACGTTAGAAGACGAATAATTTAATGCCGGTTTCATCGTACTGGACCCGGATGAAAACTTTGATGCCAATATGGAATTTCCTTGGTTCAGAACAGTACAAGCCAAGGGTGAGCTGGCAGCATCGATATATGAAGATGTCTGCCACTAATTTATCGGATGGCCATATGATGAACGTCTTGTAGCATTCACAAGCGTGTGAATGTTTTACGAGTGAGTAAGATAGCCTCACTTGCGTAGTAGTCGTTTGCAAGACTGCACAAGATCGCAGTGTAGTTAATCGCAACACTGTGAAGCAAGCTATCGGCGGCTGTGTTGAAACACATGCAGAGCCGAAAATTACCACTCAATAAGTCGAGTAGACCGGGACATAGATGCATGCCTAGCGGGCAGCATCCAAGGAAGAATGAACCGGTTGTCCGAATGCGAAAACACATTCATCTTAGGTCGACTCAAAAGTCGACGGTAGGAGATCTGATTCTGGTAGTGCGACCAAAACTAGAAGAAGATAAGGGAATAAGCCCCAATACTTACGAAAGAAATTTCGAAAGCAGTAGTTAATGAGGGAAAACCCCTCAGCATCCTGTAGAAATTATTTTCACAGGAAGAAACCGAGATATTGAATGTATTGGTTATAGACGGATCAAGCGTAGGAGCTTACACGCTTGATCTACTCGCACTTCCGAGGTTGACTTCGGAGGAAACCCGACTGCCGACGTTAAAACCGAAACGGTTCTTACGTATACTAAGCAGTGGAAAGGTCAAGCAGGTCTGCATGGTCTTCACAGATGATGATTAGTGGCCGATATTCGGTCGGCAACAGTATTTTCTGAGAACGAACGGGCTCTCAGCAGTTTATCGATGATCGAAAGTGTCCGCGATCAGGATACTTTTATTTAGCGATACATGTCTCTATCCTGGGAATCGCTTCAGGAAAACCCTTTGTGAAATTATTTGATCGAATTTAACGATATATTGCTTGAATCCGTACCATGCGAGTTGCTTAAGAACTCGATATAAAACCGATCGTAAATCGAAATCAAAGTATGGTGTCATGTAGCAGTAGCCGCTAGCTCGT